CACACACACACACACACACACAACCCCGTTCAGCTATCTTAGTGAGGACCTTCATTGACATAATGCTTTCCCGAGCCCCCACCCTAACCATTAAAGATGAATGCCTGACCCTGGCCCGTACCCTAACCTAATTGTAACCCTGACACTAAAACCACATTTTGAGCCTCAAAAACACTTCAAACTTGTGAGGACCGGGTTGTGTGTGTCACAAGTGCCTGTTGGTTCTCACAAGTATAGTAGTATGCATGTATCGGTCCTCACAAAGATAGCTAGACAGGAACACGCACGGACACACACACACACAAGTTTGAGTTTTTCGTTTAGATAATCAGCTGCTGCCTCGTGACCACATTAACAGGACCGTGCTGCACGTTCCACCTAATGTAACCGAAGCATCGATAAAACCTGAAAGCTGCACATCAGGAAACATCCAGGTGAAAGTTTGTGAGAGAAGATGAAAGAGAAGAAAGTGACTCACGTCCATTCTGCTCTTCTGCAACCTGAAACACACAGACAGGAAGAAGCATTAAAACCAGAAGAAGAAGAAAATGAGGTCTGAGGGTGTGGTGGTGCGAGTCGTGACACGGAGCGCAAACAACATGACAAAAAGCTGAAAGTGATACACAAACTGCAAAAAAACGCCGCCCTCATCACCATCCTCTCCTCTCTCCTCTCTGCTCGTGCTCACAGCAGGCGCTACACTCAGGTTTTGGTTTTTGGGGATTCGGCCCTTTAAGGCTCAGCTGCAGCTCGTTTGGAGTCCCTGAACTCGACCTTTGAACCGTGTTCGTGTCGTTTACATGGATCCCAGAAACAGACAAACTAACAAACCTTCACATTTAAACTTGTTTAAACATAGCCAGCTGACCTCAGAGTGGTTTCTGAATGCTGAATTTCTGAATGCAGAAATACGACATGATCAGAAATCAGTGAAAAGCAGCTGCTGCGTTAGTCACAAGGGGGCACCACAGCTAGCAGAGCAGCATGTCACATGATCTTGTCTCCTCCTGGTCTCAAACTGGGAACAGAACCACATCACCCAGTTTACGTTCTCTGAAGTCATCTGGAAGTTAAATGCTTTCTGTGTGTTGGTATCGATGTATTAGTCTATGCTGTCACTTGGTATCAAAAGGTTGCTGGTTCGATTCCAGCAGGAGACGCAGATCCCTGCAGGACTCTGTCAGCGAGGTGTGAAACTGCAAAATCAGACTGTGCAGAAGTGCCCTCTGAATGTTTTCCAGATGTTCCTGTGGTTTCCTGCTGCTGGGGGGTGGAGCAACGTTCTCATGCTAAACAAACAAACATGGCGCCTGCAGCAGGAGCAGACGCCGCCCAGGATCACATGGCTGTCAGCAGACCTCTCTGTTGCTCCTGAGCTCGAGTCAAAGAGGCGTCTGTTCCTCTGTGCGCTGCTCGGTGTAAATAAAGTTTGAATGAAAGCACTCACAGTCAAAGCTCCCTAAGTAACAGACACGAAACCTCACAGTTCAGCAACTTCCTCTTCTTCTGAACAACGAACCGAATCGGGGGTCTCGGCAGCTTCCTGTTTGTCTGCGTGCTTTGATTCAAGCATCAGAGGAAGAGACGCCGGACCTTGTCCAACCTGCAGGCAGAGAGCACGAGGACGGGAAGGAGACCTACCTGAGTTCACCTGAGCGCTGCTGATCACACAGACTCTGAAACAGGAGACGCGCTTTAAGTCTTGAGCCTCGCCCTGCTCCTGTATGCAGACCACACCCACACCGCACACACACCCACACGCGCGCGCACACACACACACACACACACACACACACAGCTGGGTGTGTTTTTAATTTGAACCCTGCTGTTGTTTGCTGACAGCCGGATTTAGCACATAGTTATTGATGATGTTCTTTGCAGGTTTGATTGGTCTGTTTTTATGTTACCAGGAAACCTGAAGAGCCAATCAGACCACACCCTCACTACAAAGAACACGATTGTTTTGGACAATATTCACCTGTTACAGCAGCACAAAGGGGACGTTAGAGATGTTACAAAAGGATAAAAACAGAAACAAATAAGAAGAAACTGCAGCGTGTCACATGGTTACTGCACACGCAGAAACTTTCCATGTGGCGGCAATAACATTCTTTCGCTCTTTCCCAGGATCAGGTGAGCTTCCCAACCCTGATTCCTGGAAGTTCCCGCCCACCTCGTGTCATGGCTGTTTGTTTTTTTCCACTTGGTGGACCAGAGAGTCGAACATGATACTGATTACAGCGGGCCGTTGGAATACTCAGATTACTTTTTTGTTGTAATTATTGATTTAAGTTTAAGTGAGATTGAAGTAAACGGGTGTTGACCCTGCTGTGGAGGGTACGACCAGTGTTGGGTAAGTTACTTTAAAATAGTAACTTAGTTACATTACTAGTTACTTCTCTCAAAAGTAACTCAGTTACTTCAAGTTACTCGTTACTTTCAAAGTAACTAGTTACTAGGGAAAGTAACTTTGGTTTTACTCAGAATTCTCTTGTTAATGTGTTTCTTCCATAACTTTGCCAGTCTTCTAGCTTGCTTACTTGCCACAAGTGCACTGTGCCACCTACCAATAGAAAGGAAAAGATAATGTGCATATTTCCACGAGAGAAATCCCACGCCTGGACCGTCATTGACTGCTGCCATGATTCTAGCCTACGTCACAGAGTCATGTGCGCCTTTTACATCCAACACAAAAACTGCAGTCGTGGTGCTTTCGATTGTACTCAGAACTCTGAAATTCTGCCTTCTGAATAGGAAGATGTAGGTAACACCAGACTGCAGATGAGCTGCATACAGGGCTGGACTGGGACAGAAAATTGGCCCGGGTATTTTGATTAGAGACTGGCCCACCATTATAGGAAAAATCTTAAAGCCTTTGAATGAAAATACTGTTGTGACAGTGATGTACACTGTTCTGATGGTATATATGTATCAATCTATCAATCGTTTGTTGTAAGATTCAGATAATTATTTTTTAAAAGCTAGACATTTTAAATGAGAATAAGAAAGAAAAGTATTTCTTTGTGCCCCCCTCTCCCTGTTAATGCCCTACATGCCCCCCTGGCAACACTTTGCTAGATCCGCACCTGCACAGTTACCAGCTGTCAGCTACCTAAAAAAGGATCCTGGGGTTATTTGTCTCTCAGAAACAGTTCGTAACTTCCCTTCAACTCATTCATGTCACCTAAAAGGTAAACCTGTTTCTCCATCACAGCTCTGATGATTCAGTAAGGACGTCTCCTGGTTTCATCTTCATGTTTCCCTCTCACCAGATAACCAAACCGACATCATGACCAGCAGCTTTTTTGCAGCTGTGGCTCCAGCAAACATCAGCTGATACTAGAAATTAATATTAAATAAATTCTAACAACAGCTGATCAAGCTTAAACGTGCTGCTGTTGTTTAGCACGACATCCGCTGGTTTCCTCTTTCGGCGCAAAGTGAGCGATAAACAAACAAGAGAGAAAAGCCGATCAGCTGATCATTGATCAGTTTTCATGATTGAAGTAGAAACAGGAAAGGGAGGGGGGAGAATGAGAGGAGAAGAAGAAGAAAGTGTACTTTATTGGTCCCCGTGGGGAAAATCGCTCTCTGCATTTAACCCATTCACTCAGTGAAGCAGTGGGCAGCCATTGGGCGCCCGGGGAGCAGTGTGTAGGGACGGTACCTTGCTCAGGGGTACCTCAGGGTAGCTGTTCAGGGGAATCAAACCCCCGACCTTCCGATCATGGGGCCACCACTCTACCTACTGAGCTATCCCTGCCCCCCAGCTGCACAGAAGAGGCAGCTGTGCAGCAAAGACACAGAATAACTCCAGCTTTGTGCCTTTTTCATTGTAGCTGAATTACGGAACAAACTGTTCCTTTTCACCTCAATAATAAGAAACGCGTAATATTTTCTCTGAATACCAGACGGGACGGTTGACAACTCTAATAACTTATGAACAAAATAAAGTTCAACATCATTAACTTCATAGCACCACCCAGCTGCATAGAAACTCCGTCATGCTAGCTAGCACGCAGTACGGAAAAAGTCAGAATAGCGAAAATAAACTCCACCTAAACTTGGTTCATATCTGACCCAGAGAGACTGCAGGTCATAACTTCTTACCTGAAGTTCAGTTCACACTTGGACCGGCGGCCGCCTCGGGTCTCTTTTCCTTCTGCCTCCCTTTTCCTTCATCCACCTGCTGGCCTCCACCACTTGCTAATGTTACTGAATCTTTGGAAGCTCCGCGATAGCCACCACACGAAGTAACGAGTAACGACCCTATCTAAATCCCAGTAACAAGTAACGCGTTCCTGATTTTGGCATAATAACTAGTTACCGTGCTCGTTACCACAATAATAACGTAGTTACTGTAACGCGTTACTTAATAACGCGTTAGTCCCAACACTGGGTACGACCCACAGAGGACGACGGATGTGCTTCACATGTGAAAGAAACACTCGGTTTGACGGCACAGCGCCGGTGGGATGACGAGCTGGTCCCTCTGTGACTCAGCAGCAGTGATCGGTCTGCGTCTGGACGAGCTTTGGTCGTTGAGGTTTGCAGCATTCGTTCATGCACAGCTCTCTGAGCTCTGCAGCAGCTCCGTTCTTTCCCTTTTCAGCCGTTCTGTTGGATCTTTGTCCTGCTGATGACCCAGTTTGGTCCCAGCTTTATCTGTGGGACAGACGTCCTCACACTGACTCTGGGACAGTTTGGAGTTCATCGTCCCTCCTCCACCATGCTCACAGCTGCTGTCAGGTGTTTGGTCAGAATAGAGCAGCCCTTTATTGTTATTGTACAAAGTAATCATGGGTGCTCCGTGCCAGGTGTGCAGGAATAAACAACAGACAGGAGAAACTGCACACTTCCTCCAAACGTGCTGCTGTGCATGAAGAATATCTGCTCCTCAGTCTCGTCTGACAGAGCACAGGAGGCTCTTTGTCCTGGTGCTTTACAAACCGGCCGTACTGGTTCCACCTGTTTCTGACTGTACAGGGTCAAAGGTCACAACAGTAGAGAGTGAGATGGAGCTCAGGGTTCTGACCTTGGGGTGAATTTTCCAGGACGTCCACTCTTTGAAAGACTGCCTCATTGGTTTAACACGGCCGAACGCTCCATACCTGCAAACTGGAAAGACGTCAGCTTTCATCGAGGCACTCACACTGATGAGTCAGTAAATGCACCTGGCCGCACCTCACACTCCTGTGGAAGCAGTGAGGATCAAAGCCGTCCTTCTGTTAATCTTCTTCATCCTCGCCTCAAACATGTCTCCTTTTTTATTGTAATGTTAAAGTTTCCCCTCACACCAGGGACATGGGTCTCACCACACCTACAGTACACACACCTGACACCGAGCACCGAGCAGGTGTGGTGGAGTGACTGCATGTCTGAAGCACTCAGGTAATCCTCCAGCAGCTCCGCAAACACGTCGGTGAACACCTGCAGGGACGCCCCCACACCATCCTTTACATTTGAACCACAAAGTGCACTTTTTTTTTAACCAGGGGTGTGTTCAAAACGAACCATTATATAGTTGTCAGTGCACACACAGCACAGAATCTGCGTCCTTGAGTCCACTTCCTGGTGGAGCAGTATCAGCAGGAAGTGACCTGCTTACTGCCGACCGATTACTGCTGCACCGTCTGAGTCACAGCGTGCGCCACATGCCCACATGCACCCATCTCCACCACACTAACCACCTGTGGGGCTCTCCCACTGTGGGGCAGGGCCCTCTGCTTGCACACAGAGTCACTGCAGGAGGTCGGACACGAGCAGGGAAATAGAAAGTCGAGTGAACCTGGTCCCCGATCTTTGTCTCACTGACCGTCCTTCACATCCTTCTCCTATTGTTCATGTCGGACTGATGGATTATTTTGGTCTCATAAATCTTTTAATGATCCCTAATCTACAACCACAAGGCATATAGTTAGGGCTGGACCAGGTGACCCTGGATCCTCCCTTAGTTATGCTGCAATAGACGTAGGCTGCCGGGGATTCCCATGATGCATTGGGTGTTTCTTCTTCACTCACTATGTGTTAATAGACCTCTCTGCTGAATCATATCTGTTATTAATCTCTGTCTCTCTTCCACAGCATGTCTTTTATCCTGTCTTCCTTCTCACCCCAACCAATCACAGCAGATGGCCCCGCCCCTCCCTGAGCCTGGTTCTGTCGGAGGTTTCTTCCTGTTAAAAGGGAGTTTTTCCTTCCCACTGTCGCCATAGTGCTTGCTCATAGGGCGTCATATGATTGTTGGGGTTTCTCAGTATTATTGTTGGGTCTTTACAATATAAAGGTTGTTTTTTAGTTAATGATATTTAACGATGATGTTACAGTTCAAGATACAGAGAACGAGAACACATCTGTGACAAGTTCAATGGATTTATTCACTCTGTGTGTGTGTGTGTGTGTGTGTGTGTGTGTGTGTGTGTGTGTGTGTGTGTGTGTGTGTGTGT